CTGCGTGATTTTCATTTTCAAATTGCAATTGATTCACATTGTATTTTTACTGTTAGAAACAGTTGCTGATAATCAATAAGAAACTGACAAATAGTTTAGTGTTATACACAGGGATAGATGCTTCAGTTCAGTTTGGGAACTAATCTGAAAATTGGTCCAACAGACTAGATCATCTAATGTACTGTTTCAGTGATGACTATACTGTTCTCTCTCTTACCTCACAAATGTGGTAACTCAGACAATTGTCACTCATCAGACTTTCTTATTATGCAAATATAAGTATTATTATGTATTTTCAGTCATCTTCCCTTTTTATAAATTGTATATTAGATATCTTTCTATGTCAGGAGGTACAAATATATTTTATTCTTTTCTCTGGTATATATATCCTTCATCGACTTACCTATTCCCCTGCTGTCAGAAATGTAGAAGATGTGATTTTTCAATAGTATTGTGAAAATCCTGCATAGCCTTAAAGTGTAATGTGTATATTTTCCTAGAATAGATATCAAGTTGACTTGCTGGGTTAACAAGATAGGAATTTTACATTTATTTGATCAATTTGTGCTCAATAGATTTGCCAAGTGTGCACTTTCCTCCAGTGTCTGAGCACCCCAAAGGACGGGTCGTCCCACCTTGGGTGTTTGACTCCCTATCTGGTTTTGCCAGCCTGATGGATAATACAGGCATTTCATTGTTTGAATTTGTGTTTTCCTCTCAATGGTCAAGCGTGAGTGTCTTGTATGTGTTGCTCTTTGCATTTCCTGTTTTATGCATGTCTTCACCACACCCTTTGCCCATTTTTTTTGTTGAATTGTTTGCCTTTCTCTTGTTCATTTATATGAGCATTTTCTATGTCCTAGATACTGAACCTGTATCTTTTATATGTCATACATAATTTATACCTGTTTGTTGCTTTTTAAATTTATTAATTTTAATGTTGATGTCATTTATGTCCTCAGATTTTGGAGGTAGTAAGGCTTCCCATTTTCAAATGTATTTCCTTCTAATGCTTTCCTAATTTTATTTTTAATCATTTAATTAGTTGCTTCTTAATCCCCTGGAAATTTCTCTTTTTCATTAAGGCATAGTAATTGTATATAGTTATGAGAACACAGTGTGATCATTCACTGCATGCACACAATGTATAATGATCAAATCAAGATAAGTAGCATTTCCATCTGTTCATCGTATGCCTCCTATCTAACTATATTTTAGAACCTAAATTCCCACATCTTTCTAACCCCCTCTCCTCTTACCTTCCTGGCCTCTAAGAAACACTCTCCTACTATCTCCTTCTTTCAGATCTACATTTTTAGCTGCCATATATGAGTGAGAACATGCAATACTTGTTTTTTCTGTGTCTGGTTTATTTCACTTAATATTATGTCCCCCATTACCATCAATTTTCTGCAAATGATGGGATTTCATACTTTTTTATGGTTGAATAATGAGCCGTTGTGTATATATACACCACATTTTCTTCATTCATTTGCCAATGTACATGTTAGTTGATTGCATATGGAGATCTGGTTTTGTGAAAAATGTGAAATCCTGTTTGTTCTGTCTTTAAAATATGCTGAAAATCTACTTCTCTCCACTTCTGCTACTCATCCTGTTCTAGCCACCACCTCAAGTTCTGAATTTCCAGTGGCTTGCTTAGCTGAGTGCTTTGTGTCTACATTTGCTCTCTATAGATTATTTCAGCACAGTAGTCTGCCACATCTATTTACAATTATAAAATAGCAAGGGCTGCCATTTGTACAAAGGGGAGAACCAGTATCCTCAGAATGGCTAACGTGATGTGGTTCCATTACCCTTGGCCTGTCTCTTTCCATTTTGCCCATCCATTCCCGTCACCTTCAAACCTGCATAGTCTTCAGTTCATACACCACCCCAAATCTAGACACATATCTTGCTCTACTCTCCACTAGAGTGGTCCAGAGTAGCCCTAAGATCACCATAGACCCTGAGCTGTATAAGTTCTACCGTCACAATGAGCACAACCTCCCTCGTGCCTCTGGCTTTGGGGTCTCTGTGTTGCCATAGACTTTTAGGACCTGGGCAGAGGCTCAACTGTCCACTTCTCTAAGCACACACATGTGCAACTCACAAGTGTGAGGAGCGAATTCTGAAGTGGAAAACTGACCCGAAACGGGATGGGAAATCAGTGGGATAAATTATTTTCCCTTCTCCTTCCTTTTGGAGGCAGTGTAGTTTTGTGTAATTTCTCTGAAAATATCTTGCATGAGCCAGCAATCTGCTTGGTTGTAATCTGCCTCCAGCTCAATAATGCTTTCCCTTATTTTATTCAACCTCTTTCTCCCCTTTCCTCCATTTTTCCAACTTTCTTGCTTTCCTGAGATTACATACCCACAAAAATGTTAGGACCAGTGTATTTCCTTCAAGCTCTGTCTTCTGTAGAACCAGGACTAAGACAAATCTTTCTACAGGTATCACATATTGACTGAAGCATACGCTAGCCACAACTCCTAGCTCCCAAGTCACATATCCTTGACATTTGCTTTCAGTATCTATAGTGTAACTTACTTAACTTTTATGATTCTTATTTTTGTCTTTTTTCTCAAGAATAAAACTTATAGAAACCCAAAGATTTCTGTCATTTCTGTTGGCTGCTGTAGCACCAGCCCTAAAATAATGCCTGGCATGTAGTAGACTCTCAATAAATATCAGTTGAATGAATTGAAAGAATGACAGCTATAGTAATGCCACTTGGTGTCACCACCATTGCCACTACAACAAATTTCAACTCATCTCTGATTCTTTGTTCTTTGCTGCAGGTCAGGAGGCCTGCACGGGCAGGAGCATCTGAGTGCAATACTTAACCTTCTTGACCTCATCAGCTTCCAAGAAATCTGTTTGCCTGCTCTATAGGCAATGAAGCCCCTCCTCCCAACAAGAATCAAATAAATAATATTGCTGTTTCCTACAGAAGAATAAATTTAAAAAAAAGTAGAAAAGAAAGAAAAAAAGGTAAGTGCTTGTTATAGGATTACACTACATTTGGAGAGCCTCTTTACACTGTTTAATATTCTTATCCAAGGGGATGAAAAACATATTTATTTACATTACCTTTTATGCTATTTAGTTTTTTGAAATATTGTTTCATGTATTGGTCTTATATATACACTTATTATAGTTATTTTATACTTTATAATTATTTTTGTATTTATAATTATTTTTGGTAGAATGTTTCAGAGCTAATATGCATAGGCTGTCATTTTCTTATGTTTGTATTGGGGACATGCTACAATTTTTTTTTATTTCCACAGTAACTTTGTATATACCTTCCTTGCTACACTTATTTATCATTGTTTTAAATAATTTGTTATTTTTACATTTAATCATTAAATATGTTTGTAATGTTTTGGTATGAAGTTTAGTGAAGATCAAATTCAATTTATTTTTTTCTAATTAGCCACTTATCTAAGCCTTTCCAGTTGATATACCCTTTCTCCACATTAATTTTAGTACCAATGAGCATGTACTAAAATATTTTGTTTCTAGACTGCCTATGTTTTCTAATTATTCCTTTCACATTCATCCTCTACTTCACGGAGAAATCTGTTCCTTTTTACCGTGTGCACAGTTCACGGAATGAGCATGAAATACTTTCACGAGAACTAAAAATACCCATCTGGGCATCTCAGATGGCAATCACTTCAACAAATCTAGTTCACACCTGGCAACTTTCCTTCAGTCCCTATCTCGGTTATTAACACTGCCAGGCAGCTGGTTGGTCCAGCTAGAAACTTTAGAATAATCCTTAAATCCCCATATCCGGTGGGTTAGCCAGCCTTGGAAATTGACTCTGTCAAACACCCTTGAAATATCTTCCCCCTTCTCCACTGACCCTGCATACACTCAAGTCCTGCCCTCTGTCAGATCTCAGCTTAAATGTCACCTCCTCAGTAAGCATTTCCTGACACCTTTTAAAAGTTACTGTTGTGGCACTAGTTTGTGTCCTTTATAAATGTTCTGTTTGAATTGACTCACTAAAAATTTGTTTTATTCATTTTATTATTTGTTTCTCCATTAGAATGTCACTGCTATGACTGCAAGGTCTTGTGTGTCCTATTTTCTTGAGTAACAACATATATATATATATATATAGTTCCTAGTTAATGGCAGGTGCTCCATACTAAAAGTGAATAAATGAATGAATGATATACTTCCCTTTTATTAAGTTTATTTACTTCCATTTCCCTTACTCATTGTTTTGGGACTACTCTCCACATTAATTAAATTGTTTATCCCAAAGAGAGATCTGGCTGCAGCTTAAAAACTACCAATATCTTCTTACTTTTTTTTTTTTTTTAGATTTATTTATTTAATCTAAAGGCAGAATGAGAGAGAGAAAGGGGAAAGGGGACGATGGGGAGAGAGAGACAGAGAGTGCTAGAGAGAGAGGGAGTGAGGGGTAGCTTCCATTGGCTGGTTCACTCCCAGCACATAGCCAGGGCTGGGCCAGCCCAAGCCAGGAGCCTCCCACTCTGTCCAAGTTTCTCAGGCGAGTGGCCTGGGCTCAAGTACTTGGACTGTCTTCTACTGATTCCCCAGGCCCATTAACAGGGAGCTACCAATATAAGAGACTTCAGACCTCTCTTTCCTCAGCCTAAAACCAGGTAGAACTACTTTAAATAAGATTTTTTTTTAATGAAGTCATCTTATTTCAATTCACAATACATAAATATATTTAATTTCTTTAGGTGAACTGTATTTACATCAGAAATAAATACATTGGTCTTTAAGTAAAAACTCATGAATCCCAAAAATCTTTAAAATATGCCAAAGTTTTTTTAAAAAGTCTTTACCAACTCTTCTTGCTAAATAAAGGAGCTGATACCCGAAAGTCAAGTGTGGCTCCCCTCTTTCCCCAAGTAATTTGTTCGGAATCATGAGTGGATTCTGCAAGAGCAAATTAATCCATCAATGCAGGAAAACAGGACCAATTTAAATTCAGACTACGCATTCCAGAGCACTGTTTTCTGCATAATTTGTCTCCTCAGCCATTGTCCTCAGGACTCTGAGAAGCTTTGGAAATATAGGTGCAGACTCAAGGCCCAGCTTCCTCCCCAACATCTTGGGAAGGCACTGGATGTCATGGGGTGGAGCCCTTTGCTCCTGGGTGCCACTGGGACAGAGGGTTTGAATGTAAGTGAATGTATGCCATTGGGTCAAAGAGCTACAATTCATATGTTGTTCTTAAATTTTGCATTAAAAAACTGATTATGGAATTTTAGAGGGAAAAACACTCATTAAGTTCATCTACATGCATTTATCCCTCCTTCAAAGGCTGGTGCTGTGTCATAGGGGATAAAGCCACCACCTGCAGTGCTGGCATCCCATATGGGTGCCAGTTCAGGACCCTGCTGCTCCATTTCCAATCCAGCTCTCTGCTATGGCCTGGGAAAGCAGAAGATGGCCCACGTTCTCCCTGTACCCGCATGGGAGACCCAGAAGCAGCTCATGATTCCTGGCTTCAGATTAGTGCAGCTCCAGCTGTTGTGGCAATCAGAGAGTGAACCAGCAGATGGAGACCTCTCTCTCTCTCTGCCTCTCCTTCTCTCTCTGTGTAACTCTGACTTACAAATAAATCTTTTTTTAAAAAAAAAGATGTTTCAAATATTTCTTTCACAAATATTAAACTATATTTTTCATTTTCCATAGGTTTATTTTTATAGTTTTGTCCCATTAATCTTTTCCTATGTTAGTATTTTGACAGGAAAATCATTTTTTTAAGATCTATTTATTTATTTGAGAGGTAGAGTTACAGAGAGAGGGAGAGACAGAGAGAGAGGTCTTCCATCTACTGGTTCACTCCCCAAATGACTATAATGGCCATAGCCAAGCTGATCCAAAGCCAGGAGCCAGGAGCTTCTTCTGGGTCTCCCACACGGGTGCAGAGGCCCAAGCACTTGGGCCATCTTCTACTTTCCCAGGCCATGAGCTGGATAGGAAAAGGAGCAGCCAGGACACGAACGGGTGCCCATTTGCTATGTTGGCATTGCAGTCAAAGGCTTAACTTACTATGCCACAGCACCAATCCCAGGAAAATCACTTTCTAGGTAGACCTAGAAATTTTACAGAAAATAATTATATTATGTGATTAACTTGTGGGATTGTTTTCTCTCACATCATTCTTTCTTTCACAGATCCTGAACCAGTACTGTGTGGTAGAAATTTGTGACAAGGAAAATATCCCTAGTTCAGATATAGTCTGCCTACACTGTAGACTTTAATTATTAATTTAATATAATTTTATTTAAATTGCAATAATCAACCATGGATCATGGTGACAACACTGCACTGTGTAGGTGTAAACACCCCAATGAGAAAATTATCAGTCTGTTTTAAAAAGCAAGACTCAATTATATCCTGACTATAAGAGAAAACTGTGGGGCTGGCACTGTGGTATAATGGGTAAAGTCTCCACCTGCAGTGCAGGCATCCCCTGTGGGTGCCCATTCAAGTCCCAGCTGCTCCACTTCTGACCTAGCTCTCTGCTGTGGCTTGGGAAAGCAGTAGAAGATGACTCAAATCCTTGGGCCCCTGCACCTGCGTGGGAGTCCTGGAAGAAGCTCCTGGCTCCTGGCTTCCGATTGGCCTAGCTGCAGCTATTGCAGCCATTTGGGGAGTGAACCAATAGATGGAAGACCTCTCTCTCTCTTTCTCTCTCTCACGGTCTCTCTCTCTCTCTCTGCTTTTCAAGTAAATAAATAAATCTTTAAAAAAAAAAGGAGCGAGAAAACTGTTACACATAAAGGTAGAAAATACAAAAGATATGCGAAGCAAGTACCAGTTATCCACAAAAATGAAGTAGATTTATGGATACCAAGCAAATGATTTTAGTAGAAAATATACAACTTACAGATGTAGATATTTCACAATAATAGAAGATCAGATTTTGAAGATGTTACAATACTAACGTATGGACTCAGAGTAGATTTATTTATTACTAGAAATGTTACAAGAATTACTAGAAATGTTTTGGTGAACAACTTAGAATCTTAAGTTGAAGAAAACTCTTACAGGATTGTGCTGCTTTCAAAATAGAGACACACAGTTTTCAGGACTGCTCCTCAAAAGCTGCGGCTTAGTTCCTCACTCTCGAAAGAATCTCTAGTTCTTAGTTTACTTAAATAAAAGAAGATGGAATAGATGCCCTGTGGGTGTCTGTGACTAGGTTGTGAGTTGCATTTTGCATTTCTCCTTGCTGTCTTTCAAATCACTTGCTTTAACTAAGCCAAATGCTATGGCAAAGTTCACTCAGCTCAGTAGTGAGCAGTGTGGCAGGGAGCTCCAGCCTCCTGCCAACGGCCACCTTAGAAGTAGCTCCCTCTTGAGCCACATAAAAGCCTTCAGATAACTGTTGTCCAGGCAAACATCTTGACTGCAACTTTATGATTGTGAGTCAGAACCACTCAAGTAAGTTTTTTTTCTGAATTCTGACCCACAATAACTTGAACTGTTTGCTATTTTAAACTGCTAAATTTGGTGGTAATTTGTTAGGAAGTAATAATTATTGAATCCTTAAAGGGCAAATAATTATATTGGATATTTCAAAATTTATAAATAAATTTATAAATAAACAGAAGATGTTTAAGTACAAAGCATGCCAACTGACTTAAATTAACCTTATGTCCCTGCAAAACATGCACAGAGATGTTTACAGCAGCTCTGTTAATGGGTGCCAACACTTAGAAGCAACTTAGATGTCCGTCAGTAACTAAATGGATAAAGTGTGGATAAAGTCCTTGGGTCCCTGCACCCACTTGGAAGACCCAGATTAAGCTCCTGGCTCCTAGCTTCCACCTGGCTAAGCCCTGGCCATTGGGTCCATTTGGGGAGTGAACAAGCAGATGGAAGACTCTTCTATCTGCTTCTCCCTCTAACTCTTTCAAATAAATAAATAAATAAATAAAGCTTAAAAAAAAGAAGGTTTAGAAGCTTAATTTAAGGTGCCTCTCTGGCACTAGAGGTGATGAACATCACTTTCAAGCAAAACTAGAGATAATTTAATATCTCAGTTTTGATTATAATAAGCAGTCATATTATAAATTTTATTTTTTTTTTTTACAAATTTCTGCATGAAGGCTAAAGGATTAAAAAGTTTTCTGGAACTAATATATGTGTGTGTGTGTGTGTGTGTGTGTGTGTGTTTAGGAAAGAGTTTATTGGGGGAAACCAACAGACTGGAGGGAAGGGGTGAAGAAGGAAAAGAGAGAGAAGGAGAATGTAAGAGAGAGATCAAGGGACAGAGAGAGAGAGAGAGAGAGAGAGCGATCAGGAGATGGAGAGAAAGAGTTACATGTTCAGCACATAGCGGGGCGGGCAGGGAAGCAGGAGCAAGAAATCCCATTAGGGGTGGGGCTGACACCGGTGGTTGGGCCACGTTGTTACCTGGCTTCCAGCAATGGTGGCGGGGGCTAGAGTCTAGGATGGTGTGAGGACTGTGCCATTTTACTAACATTCCCTTTTTGTTTTTTATAAAGTAGCAGTTGTATGGGATTACATTAGTCCCAAAAGTCCAGGAGGGGTAGGGGGAAAAAGTTTCAAAGTGAGGACATAGCTTTCCTCATGGGCATTGTCTACCTCAGAAAAAAAAAACTATCAGAACATGCCTGTGACTGTAGACTTCCTTTTTTTTTTAAAAAAAGATTTATTTATTTATTTGAAAGTCAGAGTCACACAGAGAGAGGAGATGCAGAGAGAGAGAGGTCTTCCATCCACTGGTGGATCTGTCTTTAGAGCTACTTCCTGCTGACATGGGGCAGTGGGTACTCTTCACTTGCATGGGGTGATGTCTCAAGCCACTGTCTCCTGGGTGGGGAGCCGAGTATATCCCTGTAGCAGCATTTGGTTGAGAGCCGGGCCTTGGTTTGTTCCATTATCGCCTCCTGTAAACACTAAAACTAAGAGTGGTATTAACCAAGTAATGAAAGGATTTCATAGAAGAGAGGCAATGAGGAGGGCCTCTGGACCCTTGTGAAGACTGATGGATGTGCTTTAAAGCTGATCCCAACCAAGACTGGGAGAAAGGCCACTCAACTTTTGCAGTTAGAGGGGTTGTCTGTAGAGAAATTCTGAATAATCATACAACATTAAGTTGGGGAGAGGACCATCAGTGCACAAAGGTCAGGAGTACAGCCATTGATGTTAGAGTAGAGGCTATGATTATAAAGGAATGAGGCCCCAAGTGGGCTAGATAGATCTAGAACAAAAGACAGAGTCATTGCTGGAGAATCTAAGAGAGCTGCTGTCTAAACCATCACTAAGTTCTCCAATTGAGAGGCAAATAGAAACTGACAGAAGGGGCCTAGTAATAATCAGGTAGGCTTTAAGGCCTTGTCAGTTATGAGGCCCAGACTTACCTCTTCACATGGGGTACATCCTAAGGGAGGTGTGAACCTCTTAGGGAAGGCACCCTGTTGGCTTCCATTACCTTGCTGGCCTGGGAGGAGAGCTGGCCAGGTGAAGGCAGGTGGCATCTCTAACAGGAAACGTACAGTCCTGCCTGCAATGTTGCTGACCCTACTTGACTGTCCCCTCAGCAGTGGTGGTTACTTTGGAAGCTGGGCTGAATGAAGGGCTCTTCAGCTTGGAGCCAGCAAGATCTGTGGCTCTGACCTGGGTGTCCTCCAACTCCAGGGCAGTTTCCTTTCTGGTGATCCAACTCTTAGCTGGCACAGCTGCCAGGGCTCTTCCTAGCTGACGTCTGCTGAAGCCCAGGCTTACCACATTGAAAGCCACTGCAGTGGACTGGCCTGCTGGGTCTCTGTGGGCAGATCACTGTACAGAGCAGCCTTTAATAGGCTGCCACCTACCTTTACATTGCTTCTGATACTTTTCTTTTCCTCCTGGTTTTTGTTAAAGCAAACCAGAGGATGCAAGTCAAGGGGGTTCTCAAATTTCATCTCTAATCTTTGGTGACCTAAATTAAAAGTCTACAGTTGGGGCCAGCACTGTGGCGCAATGGGTTAATGCTCTGGCCTGAAGCGCCGACATCCCATATGGGTGCCAGTTTGAGACCCAGCTACTCCACTCCCCATCCAGCTCTCTGCCATGGCCTGGGAAAGCAGTAGAAGATGGTCCAAGAAGATGGTCTCCCGCATGGGAGACCCTGAAGAAGCTCCTGGCTCCTGGCTTCGGATCAGCACAGCTCTGGCTGTTGTGGCCAATTGGGGAGTGAACCTTCGGATGGAAGACCTCTCTCTCTCTCTCTGCCTCTCCTCTCTCTGTGTAACTCTTTCAAATAAATAAATAAAACTTAAAAAAAAAAAGGCAGTCTACAGTCACAGGCATGTTCTGATAGTTTTTTTTTTTTTTTTTCCTGAGGTAGACAATGCCCATGAGGAAAGCTACGTCCTCACTTTGAAACTTTCTCTCCCTTTGTTTGGTCTGAAAGGGAGGTTTTTCCTGTTTCCTGTGCCCATGGTGAGGTAAATCTAGCTGTGAAATTATAATTTAAGCTCTTATTTTGTCTATGCTACAGAAAAATGTTAGCCATCCATTTTATAAGATCTAAAAATCAAACTGTGCATCTTGGAGAGTCCTTCAGAATAGAATCAGCTTCCCACCTTGAATAGAATAGAGAAATGAGGGAAAAAGCTGGGCCTAGAATAGAGAAATGAGGGAGCAAGTTCCAGATTGCTTCTGACAACAGCAATATCAAATGAAAACTTAGCAAACAATTTCAACCGTTAAATAACAGCTTAGGAAAACATTTACCAGAAGGTCCAATGCCTTCTATAAGTTTTAAGAATACATGTATTTGGAAGCATCTCTTAAATATCTAACATGGTGTAGCTTGTTTAACCAGCAAATTCAAGCACAAGCATATAAAACATTTTTAGTTTCTTTCTACCAAAAAATTTAAAACATCTAATACAGAGATTCAGGTCACATGAATCAAAATATAGCATTGATTAATTTTAGCAGTTAAATTGATGAGCAATCTTTTATCTATAAGGCAATTAAGACAGAGTTCTTAATAAATTTTCCCATGTAGACATACAATATGTATACAAATATAACAATAGAATAAAGCAGTTTCAATAATAGCTTTTTTTTTTTTTTGACAGGCAGAGTGGACAGTGAGAGAGAGAGACAGGTCTTCCTTTGCCATTGGTTCACCCTTCAATGGCCGCCGCGGCCAGCGCGCTGTGGCCTGCGCACCGTGCTGATGCGATGGCAGGAGCCAAGTACTTATCCTGGTCTCCCATGGGGTGCAGGGCCCAAGCACCTGGGCCATCCTCCACTGCACTCCCTGGCCACAGCAGAGAGCTGGCCTGGAAGAGGGGCAACTGGGACAGAATCCGGCGCCCCGACCGGGGCTAGAACCCGGTGTGCCGGCGCCGCAAGGCGGAGGATTAGCCTAGTGAGCCGCGGCGCCGGCCTTCAATAATAGCTTTTTAAGCTCTTTAGCTGTTTTTTAGTTTACCAATTGATTTCAATTATTTTCTGCTTTTTCTAACCTGAATTAACCATACTTTCTTCCAGTTGGAACCTGTAGTGCATTATCAGCTTCATCTGTTTACAGAACCATCCCAAAGTACTGAATACAACAGAAGTGGCTGGAAAAAGTCCATCAGAACCTATAGGAGGACAGCTAAACACAGAACGAATAATGTTCTAGTTTTATGAACAGCAAATCCGCTATATAAAACTGTGGATGACAAAACACTTCAAATAGCCATGTTTAAAACTATAAACTCATTCACCAACAAGAGGCACTTGCTTACTTCACACACTATTTTCAAAAGCACCTGTAGGATTTTACAGAACATTTAACCCTTTAGGCCTCTGGGCCTTTCTCTTTAAGATAACCATCACATCTAGTAACACAAGATCATTAGACCTTTTAACTTTCAGACATTTATATCAGTAGCATTTTGTCTTATAAAAACTTAAAATTTAACACCACTTCACATCTTGACAGTATTTCTAACAATCCAAATAGCCTGATTAGTTGGTGTCTACAAGATAAGCGACATATATCCTTTAATTTTTTCCACTTGGATCCAAACTGAAAAAGTCTTGGAATTAATATTAAAAGAACTAACTATGGGGCTGGCACCCTGGCTTACTTAGTTATTCCTCCGCCTGTGGCGCCGGCATCCCATATGGGCACCGGTTTTCTAGTCCCGGTTGCTCCTCTTCCACTCCAGCTTTCTGCTGTGGCCTGGGAGGGCAGTGGGGGATGGCCCAAGTGCTTGGGCCCCTGCAGCCGCATGGGAGACCAGGAAGAAGCACTGGATCCTGGCTTCGGATCGGCACAGTGCCGGGTAGCGGCCATTTGGCGGGGTGAACCAATGCAGGGAAGACCTTTCTCTCTGTCTCTCTCACTGTATATAACTCTATACCTGTCAAATTAAAAAAAAAAAAAAAAGAACTAAGTAGGATAGGAACTATTGAAAGGTAGATCTTGGCCACTGATTTTCAATCAATCCTTTCAGAGAAAATCTGCCTTTATTTTACTGAAATGAAATTCATAGATAATATTGTAACTTAAATATTTTAAAAAGAGTAATATACTGTCTTAACTGTGAAACTATAAAAATTCATTTCTATAAAAATACAGACTTGTATTTTTATAGCTTGGATGAAGCTGCCTTAGCTAAAGAAAACAAATTCTCACGTATTCCTAAGTCACCATCGATATAATCCAGGGGGTTATCGATATTGTCCTGGTGACACAAATACTACAGCAAGGTCATTTATCAATGACGGGGTTTTTTCCTGAAATAGTAAAAATCTTGAGAAAGCTAAAAAAAATTAACTATATTCTGTCAATTTATACATTCAGCTGCATCCTGAAAAACAAGACATACAAAAAGTTTTAAGGGCAAAAAGGCTTCATTTAGGTTTCAGATCTACACAAGGGCTTTTCCTCAGGTGAACGCCCTATGGCCCTTTCAGAAGTCCAAGAGTGAAGAGGCTGTCCTGGGCGTGAAGGGTTAAGGGCACTCTGGACTGCACCGCACACTTACATTAGCAGTCACCCAGCCTCTGTAAGTCTCAAAAACAAACAAACAAACAAACAAACAAAAAAACCAAAAAAAAAAAAAAAAACAACCAAACCTATCAAAGACCTTTTGCAAACCTTATGAGAACCACTGAGCCGGACCCCAAAAAACTAAGTTGAACCAGGGCAGAAGACAAAAATGTGCCCAGGAGCACTGACACCCTTGCAAAGGTCTTTATCAGGACCAATGGGAAAGTCCTCCTTGCCCCCCTTCTGCGGGCCGGGGAGGCTGCTGCATGCCCCCCTCCCTCGCTGCCCTGCCCATGTCCTCGCGTCCCACTGGCCAGGAACCTCTCTAGCACCTGGCCCCGTAGGTCTTGCCTCCAATCACCTGGACACACAGCGGCTGCTATTCGGTTTTCTGGGACTTTCTTAGCCAAGGAAGTTTCTAGATTTCCCCCAAATAATGCTTTCCATGTGTAGGCATTTTAAGGCTACTTTATTTAATTTACAAGAAGTTCACATAACAGCTGAAGCGCGCGGGGTTCATCTCAGAAGGCAGGCAGGCTCCGGGCAGAGTCTTTCCCACCAAGGACCCTTTAAGGGCCTGTGCTGGGCGTCCGTGGGGCCGCGTGCCCGGGAAGGGGAGAGGAGGGAGGAGTGTGCTCTGCCCCCACCCTCAGGCGGCGGCCCGGCCAAAGCCAGGGAGGGGGCTGTCTCCTCCTCTTCCCCAGCGGCTGCAGCTCGCTCGGCTCACAAGCCAGGGCCAGGTCAGCGCGGCTGCGACGACGACTCCGGCTCCTGCTTGAGAAGCGGATCTGCTCCCGGCCACGGCGATGCCAGGAGCGGCCGGGGTCTTTCTCCTGCTGCTGCTCCGGAGCCTCGGGGGCGGCCAGGCGCAGCGGCCCCAGCAGCCGCAGCCGCAGCCGCAGCGGCAGCCACAGGCGCATCAGCAAAGAGGTACAGTCGAGGCACGGGCGTTTGAGTCCATCCTTTGCGAGGGTCCGCGGCTGCTCCCTGGTCGCTCTTCGGCAGAGTTGCGGGCTGGGGATGCCTTTCTGGCTTTGCCTCTAGGGAGTGAGTGCGCTGTGGGGCAGGCGAGGGTAAACTCGAGGCCAAGTTCGCGTTCAAATCCCTGAGCTTGCGGGGTAGGGTGAATCGCCTACCTCCAGCCCAAGGAATGTGAAGCACTTCTCATTGTTCCTCGCTTTTGAGAAGTCTTGCTGTCAGGACACATCTTGTAAGCTGACTGGGAAACTCCTTCCAAGAGGCAAACTTTTTCCAACTGAGAAAGTTCCTCCAAATCGGACTTGATCCCTGCAGAGAGAGGTTTTCCAAGCTGTGGGTTGTCTTGGGACTCCTCAAACGGCAGCTGATACATCTTTTCCTAATTCTAAGGGGCTTTGTTTCTAACTGAACACGAATGCTAAAGTGGCGAAGTATGTGGATTCTTTCAAGGGACAGCACTTCCAGCCTCACGTTTTCCATAGCAAATCCTCTCTCGGTATCCGATTTTCTCGTACTGGAATTTCTCCTCCGGCTTAAATAGAGAGGAGGCATCTACGTCGTGAATTTTAAGAACTCAGTGACAAGATACATACTTCAGGGAACTTGAGAAAAAAGTTGTATTTAATGTGCTTTAAGGCTTTTTCATCAGAGCATCATAATGTTTGCATGTATATACTTTCTGAAACTCTTGGGAATCTTGGAAGAGTTATTATACTGTCACACATTTCAAAAGAAGCTCATGGGTAGCAATTTAAGAATTGATTTTTTTAAGTATACATTTCAACAAACATTTCTGTATGTTGGGACACGGGTATCAAAGTAAAACTATTTAAGGACTATTTACGATTTGGTTTTAAATAATCAAAATACCCTATATCTGGTGTGTGTGTGTGTGTGTGTGTGTGTGTGTTTTTAAGAAGGTTATGAAGTTTCAGTGAGGCTGAATCTGCTAAAATTTTGAAATATACGAATCCCTTTCTTGGTTAAGTGGAAGAAAGCTGTTCCTAATGGTTCTGTTAGTTACTGTTCTTATAGCCTGGCACTTTTTTACAGTACTATTTTCTAAAGGAGTAAGAAGATAGCCTAAGCTCCTAACTAATAACTCCTCTCTGGTTAAAATTCTTAGGATAAAAATGACCTTGTGTTCTCCATAGAACTTTTTTCTTCCATTTTTGCTTTTTCCTTCTCTGAGAGGTAAAATGGGACCAGTGTGGCCAAAGTAGTAGAATTTGTAAGACAGTGATTTAGAGAATCTGTTCAGCAGTTCATTTAAAAAAACAAAACAAAACAAAACAAAAAAACCTTTGAACAATTAACCTCCGGTTGATTGTATGGAACTGTCTAACAATACAGAATACTTGAGAACTGTTAGGCAGCTGAGAGAGAATACGCACCAGGGCTCCAACTTGGAACAGAGCAGAAGAAGTTCAAAGCACACAGACTGGGGATTCAGTGAAGATTTTCCCTATTACATACATGTATTCTCTGCTCCTTTTATCCCTGCTTTTGCCCTCCCTGTACTCTTTTTTAACCGAGGTAAGATAGTTCACGCTTCTAAGGTCTCTAAGTGACGTGACGTGGATACAGAAAGAAGGGTTTAAATTCGCCATTCTGTTGAGGGATCACTTGCATGCCACCTACAATGAGCAATTTTATGTAAAATGACTATAGCATGGAGTCTACTGCAGACTGTCCTATTTTGGCTTTCTCCAATCTCTCATTGTCTTTGTTATAGACCGTTTTTAATGTATTTGGAAGGTAGCTCAAAGATAAATGGTGAAAGCTCTTAGCATTATATGCATGTATAAAATAGTTTGATACCTTAAATTTGTATTGTGATTTATAATTTGGACATTTTTTTTTTACTCCTTTGACTGTTAGTATTCTCATCTTACAAATATAAAACCTGTGACTTGGAGTAGCTATGATGTAAGCTTACATAACTGATAAGTGACTTAATTTTCAACAACTAAATACATTTCCAGTAGTGTTTCTGCTGAAGTTCCCTCTTGATTGATTTTTATGAGGCCATTTTACTTTTTCAGTGTTGTTCTTTGAACATGATTGGATACAAGTTTGATTGAAAAAGTATTTTCTTGGTTATCATTGACATTTCTGTTTTCCGTTATATGTATTAGCTGGAAATTCCTAGCTAAGTACTGATTGTGTAGGAGTTATGGTTTTTTTCTTATAGTATGATGCCAGTTTATTAAGGATGTTGATATAAAGCAGCTATTTCTAGAAATTATATTTAAATTAGGAATCAGACTCATTTTTAATTTTTTCTTCATGTGGTTTTCATAGCATACTAAATTTCTGTATGAATAGCATTGTTTTAGCAGATGTGATAGTCCAAGGAAATTCTTTAACTGTGTCTAAGAAAGACAACATAGGAGAATAATGTAGTCAACGTGATTCTGCAGTTCAGCAAGGCAGTGGATGAAATCTTTTCTGATATTCTTGTGAGTAATGTATGGAAATGTAAAGGTAATTTGCAACAGATTGAAAAAAGTTTCCAAAGAAGAGCAGTCTGCAGTAGTAGGAGAGGTTGTCTCAGGTTCACCTGTCTTAGTAATGACTTGATGGAAAACATAAGATTCAAGTTTATCAGAACTGCAGGTGGTCCAAAATTGAATCAGGCAGTGAAGTTGGTTAGTAACAGATGTAGGAATTTTAAATGTCTCAATAGCCATGACTGTGAAAGGAACCTACATGGAGTTGGTTTTATTATTTAATATCCAGATGTTAAATAATTCCATATGCCCTCTTCTAGAAATTTGTTTCCTTTATATGAACAGGGATGAATGCAAATTTCAAAAGGCCAGTCTGAAATACAGCAAGTTCTGGTTGAACATTTGAATATAGTATGGCGCAGTGACAGAAAAGTTAGCTCATTTTTATGCATGACTCACAGAAACAGGAGTGTGTGTTAACGCACACTTGAACTGAATTGACAAATGGTTGTAAATTCAGAGGAGAGGGGATAGAACAGAGGATCTGAAAAGATTTTCATAGGGAGAATGTTCCAAGTAAAGCCTTTAATGTTTTGAAGAAAAGATTGGAGGAGAGAAAGTCATGAGATAACTTTACATCCTTAGAAGGGTTGTTATGTGCAAGAGAGACTGAGAGATTCTAAGGGCTGCACTGTGATCCACGGAATATGATGAAGAAGGTTTGATTTCCACTGGTGGAGAAACCAGCGCCCTGTCTCCAGTTTCCCATCTCCATTCCTCTCCATTTTGAGCTGTTAAGACAGAACGGTGTGTGTGGGCTCTTAGATTCTGGAAATACCCTTGCAGTGATCAGATGTACAGTTGACCTCAAGTGCTCTAGGATGCAGTTCCTTTACAGAGGGGAAGACTCGGCAAGACTGTAGACCTTCAGTTCCAAGATTCTAGTACAGCAGGTCCTCTGTTATTACTGCAGTTACTCTTCAAGATCCCCAGTGAGTGTCTGAAACTATGGTGGTATGGATTCCTAGAGACACTTGTTTCTTCCCAGGCGTATAAAGGTATTTCAAAAGTCTCCTAGGAAATCAAAATAAAAGCAAGTTTATTTAGTGCAAAAGTTTTTTGAAATCCATGCAGATGAAGGGTCTTCAAAAAGTTTACAAGTAATATGTTTTATGAAAAAATGCATAGATACCAATGATAAAAATTATAAATTAGGTATAGTAAGAGACTAATAAAAATAATAAAGTAGAAAAATTATACTTATGTGAAACTTGTGACTTATTTCTAGAATATTCAAGATTTTTGGCTGATAGTTGTAGGTAACAAACCATGAAAAGCAAAACTGCAGAAACAGGTGGACTGCTGTATTAAAGTTATTTTTGTGGTGGATGTTTGGCCTCGTGGTTAAACATTCAGTTGGGATGTCAGAATCCCACATTGGATCATCTGGTTTCCTGTCCAGGCTCCTCTTCTGATTCCAGCTTCCTGTTCATATGCACCCTGGCAGGCAGCAGGTGATAACGCGAATAGTTGGGTCCCTGCCACATGCCATATGGGAGACCCTGAATGAGTTTTTAGCTCCTGGCTAGGCTTGGCTTATTCTATGCTATTGCAAGCATTTGGCGAGTGACCCAGAGGATGGGTGCTCTTTCTTCATCTCTCTCGGACTTTGCCTCTCAAAGAAAAAAAATCTATTGGAGTGCACACTTGTATTTGCCTTTCTGAATTCTTAAATGTCAAATGTTACATGTACAATATAAAAGTCTTTTTAGTTGACTTCAGGGATTTAAAATGAAAACATGTTTGAGACAATCCTCACATTTTGGGCAAAGATACTTTAGTTACAATTTCCTTTTTACCATCAGTTGCACAGTTCTGAAGTATCCTGTAATATAAAATGTGAGAACAGTTTATAAATTACCTGAGAAATTTTCAGGGGATTGTCATCAACCTGGATGTAATTAACTTTTTTGATATTTGATTTTGCTATATAATTTTTGGCTTGTTGACTACCCACTGACCAAAATAGTTTAATAAACATGATTGATAACAGATTAAATGTATGTCTGAGAATGAGAACATATTCAACATTGACATATTACAAATATGGTAGAATTAATACAATTTCGGTAACTTGTGTATTATGTTTTATTATCTTACATATCAGTATGTACAGATTGGTTGTCTCAATGATGTTTTTCTGTCCTAACATTACATGCAAAGTAATGAACTGAATCTACATTGAGTTACTGGGAATTATGAAAAATTGCACATACTTGGCTAATTCTTATGCAATTCACTTCTGTTACTATAGCTCCTGAAATACAAGATAACTGATTATAAAGACTAATGTTTTCATCTTGTACAGATATAATTACTTTAATACTAAAATAAATGTCTAAATTCTTTTGGGGTATAACTCAGAAAAAAAGGAGCTTATGTTTTAAGAGTATGAATTAGTTAAAAATTTCTGAATTAGTAACATTTTGAATTCCTACA